AACCCACCACCCTCTTGCCTGTTGGGCCCCTCCCTCTCCTGAGCTGGGCCGCGGGGAGGGCACTCCTGGACCAGGCCCTTCGCCCGGTCACTGCCGCGCACACCCCGCAGCGCGCACAGAAGCACCCCGCGGGTTGCGGCAGTGGCCCACGCGGCTGCCTCCTCGTACTCGCACGGCCACGAGCCGCCCGCGCTCCTCTGCGGGCCCTCCCGCTCCCCTTCCCGCTCCCCTTCCCGCTCCTCTGGAGGAGGAGGAGGAGGAGGAGGAGGAGGAGGAGGAGGAGGAGGAGGAGGAGGAGGAGGAGGAGGAGCTGGGTGCGGCTCCCTCCTCCCTGGCCGCGGCTCTCCTGCCTCCCGTGGGTGCGGCCCCTCTCCCCCCTGTGGTGCAACTCCTCCCTGGGCGTGGCCCCTCCCTGGGTTCGGCTCCGCCGCCTGCCTCTCTTCTCCTCGCAGCTCCTCGAGGTCTTCGGTGGGCTGCAGTGCCCTGCGCTTGAGGTCGCGCTCCTCTCTGGCCCCCCCGTTCTGCCAGTGTGCTGTAATGCCTCATCGGCCCATGTCCTGGCCCTCCGTGCTCCCCAGAGTTGGGGTTTGCCCGGGGTGAGCGGCCCGTGCCGAGCGCGGTCGCCCCCTCTTCCTGCCCTCGTCTTCTCTTCTCTTGGACCTGCCACCGTCCTGGTCCTGGCCCGGAGCGGCAGTCGACTGCCACCGTGCCGACGTGATGTCCAGGCCGCCTGGGGACAGCCCATTTTTTCGAGGCGGCCCTCGTTCGTGAAAAGCTCTCGGCATCAATACTTCCCAGGCCGCCCACCTGTGGCTCGAGCAGACGGGATCGGGTGCTCGCGCCGCAGCGCGGATGCATCGGCGATGCGGCGCGCATCGGAGCTTGATCTTCTCCGTACCGACGTCGTCGATTCTTCGGGGATGAGTCAGCGATGCGGCGCGATCCTCGGAAACCATCGGACGGGGCCAGGACGAGGATAAGTCCGTTCCAGAGCGCTCTCTGAGCGCTCTCAGAGCGTTGCGGAACGCTCCGAGAGGGCGGCGTCGCACGAGACATCCCCCACAGCCGCGGGATTTCAAATATCCTCGATGTATACTCACCCGAATTGATCCTCGCCCTGGCTTCGTCTCAGACCATTCTTGGGGCGGTCTCCATCTCAGTTGTGAGGGTCCCGCACGTGGGGCGTTCCAAGAGGGGCCTCGTCTTCGGGGAGTGGAGCGGCTGGCATCTCGCGGCGGGCGGGAGCCAGGGGAAGCCCTGGGGTTCGGGGCGACCGATATGGGTACTAAAAGAGTTCGAGTAGGGGATCGGCGACAACATTTGATTACCCCAGTTTTTGTTTTCGTCGAGTCTACGACAAAAATGTAAAATGTTTGTGGACATACGAACATGTTGCGCATGTTCATGGGCTTCGACGTGTAAATAAATGCAGAAATGCTGCAGTCGATCCGTTGCTCGAAAAATGAGGACGAACACCAACAGCATATCCTGTTCATTTCAGACATGATTCGCTGTCTGTTTCGCAGTGGGCATTGTCCATTAGAGGCAAAAGCTCGCCTGCCCAGCAACGGCCGCTGTCGATTTTTGACAACATGCGTTGGCGGTGCCCACAAGGGGGTGTGGGTGGGGTGGGTTTCTAAGGAGGCGGTGGGGCTTCTGAAGGGGTTAGGGCGCTTCTTAGAAACCCGCCTGGCCTTCAAATGAGCCCTCCTGCCTTCTTTGAAGCCCCCCGCCTACTCAGAACCCCCCCCCTCCTCGTGCCGTCCCCCTGTGGGCGCGAAATTTGCTGCTGGGCAGCGTCTCATTTTTTCCGTACCCAATGCGGGCGTGCCAAGCGGAAGGAGGTGCAAGTTGCATGATGGAGGCTTTGCCGACGGAAGTAAACATGTTTCAGTATCGTTTAGCCGATCCCCATCCCCATCCTCATCTCCACCCAGACCCCCAACATCTCAGCACCCCAGCTGGGGATACACCCTTCGAAACCCGAAGAGAACGGTCTATATCCCCATCTAGTGGGGTAAATCGGCCAGTGGGGCCCAGGCCACGCCGCTGGGGATGGGGATCGCATAAACGATGCTCAATGTTGACCTTCCAAGAGGCTCTGGCGCACCCGGAGGGTTCGGGTGCCGGCCACGTCGAAGGAGGATTGTGCTAGGATTGTGCTACTTAGGACTTACGCAGATGGAAAGCACCACGCAAGCCGCCTCACGCCTTGCAAGCCGTACTTACATAGGCGTTCCTGGTGAATGGCCGCACTCCCATAACGAATCAGTCTACCCTTGGCCGTTCTCGTTCGGGATGGTGGATACCTCCTTCACAATACCGTCCACTTACACTGACCGTCAGAAAAGCTTGGCCTAAAACACGGCTGACACGCCTGACAGTCCTTGCTGCCACTGCCTGTCTTCCCCTTCTCGCACGAGTTGATGCCAGCGTTGTAGCTAAGATATTGGGCTCCAGCTACGCCCCCCACTTCTCGCACGAAACTTGCCCAGAACTCTCGACTAAATTGGGCTCCAGCTTCACCCCCCGCTTCCCGCAAGAGGCTTCTCACAGAGCTCCCGCCGATACTGGGCTCTAACTTCGCCCCCCACTTCTCGCAAGAGGTTGGCCCTGAGCTCTCGACACTAGTGGGCTCCAGCTTCGCCCCCCGCTTCTCGCAAGAGGCTTGCCACAGAGTGCCCGACAATATTGGGCTCCAGCTTCGCCCCCCGCTTCTCGCAAGGTGCTTCCACTGACTCCCAGCCCTTCCGCACGCGAGCTGATGCCCGCACGCTTTCTCGCAAGGAAAGATACCGGCGTTGTAGCTGATGACCCTCCCCTGCGTTCGCCGTGCCACAGTGCCAGAAGCTGCCACTGGTCGCCTTCTCGCAAGAGCCCACACCTGCTTTGTAGCTGGCTTCCCGCTCCCGCGTTCGCCCGTCGCGCCATGATGGATGAGAGCACTGCGCTTCTTCTCGCAAGAGCTGATACCAACATTGTAGCTGGGCACCCCGCTCCCGCGTTCGCCCTTCTCGCAATGCCGGGTGAGAGCACTGCGCGCCTTGTCGCAAGAGCTGATACCAATATTGTAGCTGATGACTCCGCTCCCACGTTCGCCCGTCTCGCAATGCCGGGTGAGAGCACTGCGCCCCTTCTCGCATGAGCTGATACCAACATTGTAGCTGATGACCCCGCTCCCACGTTCGCCCTTCTCGCAATGCCGGGTGAGAGTACTGCGCCCCTTCTCGCATGAGCTGATACCAACACTGTAGCTGATGACCCTCTCCTGCGGATGCCTTGGTTCCGGTCTCACCTCCGTCTCGCGGAGCACAGCCAGAGCCTGATGCCACTGCTGGTCCTTCTCGTACGCGTCAATACCAACGCTGTAGTTAAGGACGTCTGGTTCCAGTCTCACCTCCGTCTCGCGGAGCACAGCCAGAGCCTGCTGCCACTTCCCGCCGTTCTCGCACGCGCCGACTGTAGCGCTGTAGTGAAAGACGTCGGGCGCCAGCTTCACCTCCGCCTCACGGAGCCCAGCCAGAGCCTGCTGCCACTGCCCACCCTTCTCACACGCGCTTCTTTCGGCGCTGTAGCTGAGGACGGCGGGCTGTATCCCTATTCTCTCCCGCTCGCGGAGTCGGGCCAGAGTCTGCTGCCACTTCTCGCACTTCTCGCACATGCTGATTCCAGCGTTGTGGCTGAGGAAGGCGTCGGGCCCCTGCGATTCTTGGGCTGTGCGCAGTAAGGCATCACCCCTGCTTGCCAAGAGGAGGAGGATGGGAAGGGGGAAACGGACGGGGAGAGGGCGAAATGAAGGGGAGGCATATTGGCGGCCCCGCATGCGCCTATTCGCGGCGCCGCCACTGCGGGCGACGGCGTTTATTGATGGCACCATGCTTCTTTACGGCTCCCCGAAGCATCGCCGCTCCGAAGTTTGCGACGGGAGCGCCCAGGCGGTCCACGCAGGGACGGGCCGCTCGGGCACGGAACGGCTACGTCGAAGGAGGAGGAGGAGGAGGAGGAGGAGGAGGAGGAGGAGGAGGAGGAGGAGGAGGAGGAGGACGAGGAGCAGGCGTCCTGCGGCTGAATGGGGGCTCCGAGACAGGGATATCCTCGTAGATATATGCCCCCTCGCGGGATAGACCACGGGATATCGACCTCGCGGGATAGACCCCCGCCCTGGATAGACCCACCTCGCGGGATCGACCTCGCGGGATGGGCCCCTGATTGTGATTGTGTCACCTTGCGGGGTAGGCACCCCCCTCGCCTCCCGAGTCATGTGCGAGGCCATGTTCCAGCCTCTCTGGGGCAGGAGGGGTGCTGATGAAAGCTCAGCCCAGACCGCTGCACTCCTGGGCGCGGCAGGCCTCTTCGTGAGGCTCCTAAGCGCCAGGGCGGCTCGGGCTCCTCCCGTCACTTTCCGCCCCTTCGGTCAGGGTCTGCCTTCTCCTTTCTCACCTCAGAGCGCCACTTCGCATTGCTTCCGCGGATAGACGTGCCGCCCTGCCGAACAGCCGACCCGTCAGCCGTGCCAGTTATCAAGTCTGACGACCAGGCACGAGCAATCATGGCAGATCTCGAGGGTGGAAACACGATTACCATGATCAAGATGGCGCCCGATCTTGTCGACGCTGGTCTTGGTCATGGTGCATGCGGGCAGTTGCCGATTCGCGAGAATGGTCCACGAATTGACGGTGATCAAGATCGACGGTGACCAAGATCGACCCCGACGTTTCCGCTCTCATCCTTGGTCACGTTTGCCGTCATGTTTCCCTCCAGGATGAAGCATGCGGATCGCTCCCCTCCCCTTAAGTCGGGAGTGTCCTTCTTTCTACAGGAGTTTTTTTTTTTTTTTTTTTTTTTTTTTTTTTTTTTCTCCTGGTTTATCTTTTATGGTTAGGGGACGTTTTTTTTTTGTTTATTTTTGACTCTGTTCCGGTATTGTTTGAGTATTTGTTTGTTTTCGTTCCAAATCCGCCTGTAGGAGGACACGCCCGACCTAACCCTCCCCGTCCGAGGCCGCGGCGGCAGCGGCGGCCCACGAGGCGTTTTGCCGCTGGGCTCCTGGATGCCGCTGCTGCCCCCCCGAGCTCTCCCCGGCGGAGCTCGTCTCGGATCGCCTTCCGCGCTCTGGGGGCGGGGGGGGGTCTGCTTTTCTATGGCCCCACGTCGGGCATGTCCCCCTGCAGGAGGAAGATCCAACCATGTCAGAACAATCGTACGGGGACGACCTACTGGTATTTTCTTTGATGATCTTGGGGTAGTTTTTTCAAGGTATGTTGAAGTCTCGCCCAGAATCCGCCTGCAGGGGGGCACTGCCCGACCTGGCCGTGGCCCACGCCCCGGCGGGCGCGAGAAGCCCTCACGCCGAGGGCGAGCTCTTCGTCGGGCAGGCCGGGCATCGGGGGCAAGCCGCTCCACAGCGTGCTCCCAGAGCATTCGCCAGGAGGGACAGAAAACGCACAGACACAGTTCATCGTCGATCCCCCAGGAAATATGGGAAAGTATGGGAAGTGGGGGGGAAGACAGAAACCCAGAAAATATGCGAAAATATGGGGAATCCTGTTACTTGTGTCTATTTATTTGTGTGTCCCAGGGCCCCTTCAATTCAGGAGCGCTCAGAGATGGCCTCGGCGCTCGATGCAGTGGGAGCCCATGCCAAGAAGCACCCTGCTCGCCTCCAGGGTGCCCTGGGTTTCTTGGGTTTCGACGGTTTTGCTACGGAAAGCGCGACGCTCCCGCACCAAAGACCAACGGACGTCCTGGGGTCTCGGGGCTGGGTCTCTCGGGGAAGGTTTCCCGAGGTCGAGCCCCCCACTGGAGATCCCTGACCTGCCTCGACTCGACGCTGTCCTGACCTGGGGTGCACTTCGTACGGGGCAGGGCAAGAGCAGGAGGCAGCAGGGGCCGCCCGAGAAGAGGGCCGCGGCGAGCCCCGAGCGGGCCAAGTGCGCAGCGCAGCGCGCGCGCGCCTGCGGGCACAGCCTGCGTTTTGCGGCGCCGGCGCGTGCGCTGCTCGGCCTGCGACTGCAGAGCCCCTGATGGCGAGCCCGCGCGGAGGGCGTGCTTTGACGGAGCTTGGCGGGGGACGGGAGAGGCCGCGGCGGAGGTGGCAGCCGCTGCGTGTCCTGCAAGCGGGGAGCGAGCATCGATGTTCCAGGCAGGGGCGAGCTCCGGGCATCCTGCCCTCCGCGGTCCTGGCCGAAGCTTTGGCGGCAGAATTCTGCTCTGAGTTTTTTTGCCTCCATGTGGTCAGTGGCGGTTACAGGGTATCATGTGCTTCTCGTCAGGGTATCAAGAAACCATGGGCGGTTACATGGGGGCGGTTACAGTGGGGGCGCGCATCAAGAAACCATGTGCTTCTCGTCAGGGTATCCTCGGTTTCTGCGCTTCTCGCGCTGCGCGGTGACTTCCCGCAGCCGTTGAGGGAGCTGCTGCGTTCAGGGTGCTCCAGGTTTCCCCCCAGATGCACCTCGCGCGCGGGTTCTCAGGGCTGAGTTTCTTGCGAGGGTTCTTGCGGCCTCGCCCGCACTGCAGGTGCGCACAGTGCGCTGGCCTCTTGGGAAAGGAAGAGGGTACGAAGGATGGACCGATCCGCAGCAGAGTCTGCTCTTTGCCCCCCCGGTGGAAGGGCCACGGCGGTGGGAGCGCGAGCCGCTGGCAGAGCTGCGCGATTCCCTGTCCGAGCTTAACCACCCCAACCCGACCCGAAGGCCCCGATCACACGCCGGTCGTTGAAAGTAGGTATTTTTGGATTCCCAGATCCCAATCTACTTGAAGCGCCTTCCTACCTCAAGAATCGACATGCTTTGGCTGTGCTTTGTTATTCTCTGGGAGCACCTGGACCCAATCCACTACATCCGCCTTCTACTTACTGTTTCTACCTACTTCTTCCGACCGACGTGTAGCCCTCCATTTCCAGGGGGGGAGTCGGGGAACCGTGAAAAACACACGTGAAGCTCGTACCCCCCCCCAACCCGAAATTTGTATTTTCGGGTTGGTATGGGGTGGTCTGGTAGGTAGTCAGAGTTGGAGATACGTCCTTCTGCACTTTGGTGGCGCGAGAGCGCTAAGATAAGCCGCGCTTGGCGCGGCGCGAAGCGCGATGTTTGGTGACCTAGCCCGCGCGGGACAGGCCTGGCAGCGCCGAGTTGAGCGTGCGTAGCGAAGCGAAGTGTTTGGAATTCTACACGAGAGTGACGCAAGCTACGCCGCGCTCGTGGGAGGCTCCTCCCGGGGGTGCCGCAGGCGGCAGTCTTGGGATTCCTGCGTCGTCTGCAGATCACGGCGGCCGGACTCGCTCTTCTTCGGGCTCCAGGATCTCCACGGCCCGCTTTGGAATAAGAAATACGCTGAGGTCCCCCGTCGCTCACTCATGCGCCGAGAAGGCGTTTGGCGGTCACCAGTTAAGAACCAACAGTTCCAAAATGTCCGTATATTGATGACCACAGAAACCAAACAAATAGACCCCAAGACCCACAAACAACAAAATAGTACACCACACAACAATCACGAAAACACTTGCGCGCTGGTTTAAGGGGAAGATCATTGCATACGGGGAAGGCGGAGGTACGTAGGTGGCACATGTGGGCGAGGGGGCAGGGGGTGCGGTAGCCAGGAGGTGATGGTGGGTCAGGAAGGCGCGAGAGGCAGGGGGCTCTCCCCCGCCCTTCTCCTCTCTCCTCGCCCCCTCGGGGGCAGCCTTCGGGCTCAGACCCTGCCTCGGCCACCGTCCATCCTGGACCTCGGCCGGCCTCCGGCGCGGGCGGGGCCGCGGCAGAGCGGCATGGGACGGCCCCCTTTGCTCGTGCCTCTTCGGGTTGCGGCCCTGCGCCGGCCAGGTCCACCCCAGGCTTCGCCGAGGCGGGTCTGCCGCAGGGGCCCCCGCAGGGGCCGGAGCATGCCCCCCGCCCCCTGGGCGGCCGGAGCGTGCCTCGCGGGGTCCCCGAGGCCGTCCAGAGCGCCCAAGGCACGTGCACCGGCGGTGAGCGAGGGGGGGAAGTGGGAGGGAGAAGGCCTTCTCAGACGGCTCGGAGGTCCCCTGGCCTTCTGAGGAGTTCTCCAGGCCTGCCCCGAAGACGCGGTCAACAGCTGCTCAGGAGGCGCGAGGGCTTCGGAGGAGTCCCGCCGCCTTCTGAGACGATCTGTTCCTTCTCACTTCCCCCCTCGCTCGCCGCCGATTTCAACACCCCCACCGAGCGCTCCAAGAGGCCCCATGCGGACCTCAGGTAGGGCCTGGAGGCTTCCAAGACGCATTCGGAGCCCCCCCCTGACGCGCCCCGAGAAGACGTCGGGAGACCAACATTGGACAAGTCCTTACGGACAGCAGACGTTTTCAGCAATCGCGCGTTCGGGCTCTCCACTGCGTCGACGACTGCGCACGAGGCGCTCCAGGGATCCCCACGTCCACCCATGGACCCCCCAAGACGGCCCAGGACGACCCTAAACGGCCTCCCCAAACGGCGTGGGAGCCTCCACGGAGGAGGCCCAGAGCGTGCCACGAGGGGCCTTGGCCGTCTAGACCGCCCAAGGAACGTCCAAGACGCCCACAGAGTGCCGCCAGACGCCCCATGTGGACCTCAAGTAGGCCCTGCAAGCTCCCAAGACACCTCCAGAGCCGGCCGTGATGCTCCCGCAGAAGACGTCGGGAGGCCCATGTTGCGTTGGGGCTCACCACTGCGGCTACGGCGGCGCAGGAGCCGCTCCAGGGAGCCCCACGACGGCACCCGAACCACCCAAGACTGCCCAAGACGACCCCAAGAGGACTCCCCAGACGGCCCCGGAGGCCCGCCAATCGAGCCCAACAGCCGCCCTTCATCCGTGAAGCTCTTGCGAATGTTGAAAACGAAAATGCGCTGCGCTAAGGCGAGGTCCGCATTTTGAGAACCAGCCGCCCTCAACCCGTGAAGCTCTTGCAAATGTTGAAAACGAATGTGCGCGGCTCTAAGGCGAGAGCCGCATTTCGGAAGCGTGAGGGCGGGAGGGAGATGAGGGATAGAAGGGGGACGGGGGGGGACGGAGGGCAGCGCCAAACGGCAGGAGCGAAGATGCGTGCGAAAGGCGGCCACGGATCCCTGGCTGAAACAGAGGACTGGCAGGACAAGAACGCGAATATGCCGCGTGGGCGGATTGTACATTGCAGAACACTGGGAGATCGTGGGCCACTCTTGCACCGTCGAGTGGTTGCGTGTTGGAGACCTCTTGGATGCCTCTACGGGTCAATTGGGGCCGCCATGGGGCCTTTGGAGGTTTCTGTTTTGGTTCTTGGAGGCCTCTTTGGGGGCGGCTCGTTGTTTTTTGCGGGCTCCTTTGGTGTGCCTTTAAGAAACTTTTTGGGAGCCTTTTGTCGGGTGTTGGGGAACTCGCGGGCGTCGCGGGCGCTTGTGGGGTCCCCTCGAGTCAGGCCGCCGGGTCCGCGAAGCAGGGTCCGCCGAGCCAACCCGACGGGTCCGCCCGGCCGTTCCGCCGGGACCGCTCCCCCTCTCTAGGTTTCCTAAATGGAGTCGGAGTAGATGGGGTCGGAGGATCGCGCCGCGTCGCCGATGCATCGCCGATGCGGCTCGATGTGGAGCCCGATTTGCCTCACGTCGACGCTGCCGATGCATCGCCCACGTCGACGATGCATCTTCGGTGCATCGCCGATGCATCGCCAGTGCATCGCCAGTGCATCGCCGATGCATTGCCGATGCATCGGCGATGCGGCGAGCCCCTCCGACCTACATCTAGGAGTGCCCTCTCCAGGTCGGCCGGGCCAGGCTCTTGGGGGTGAGGGGTTCGGGTAGGGGCAGTCCTCTCGCACGACCAGGGGCCTCCGTCGAGGTCGCCGACGTCGGCCCCACTCGGCCCGCCTCGGGCGTGGGCGGGGAGGCGCGAGAGGTTGCAGGAGTGAGCCGTGGAGTCATTGGTAGAGGGAGCACGGCCGTCGCAGGGGAAGAGCGGGACGCGAGCCGGTCGCCGTGGGGGGCTCTCCCTCGCCTCTCTCCTCTCTCCCCTCCTCCTCCCCCTCCTCTTCTTCCTCCTCCTCCTCCTCCTCCTCCTGCTCCTCCTCCTCCTCCTCCTCCTCCTCCCTCCTCCTCCCCTCCTCCTCCTCCTCCCCCTCCTCCTCCTCCTCCTCCTCCTCCTCCTCCTCCTCCTCCTCATCCTCCTCCTCCTCCTCCTCTTCGCCCCCTCGGGGGCAGCCTCCGTCGAGAGGTCGCCATCGTCGTCGGCCCCGCTCGGCCGGCCTCCCGCGCGCGGGCGGGGCAGCGGAGCGGCGCAGGACTCAGCCCCCCGGTCGTGGGGGGCAGCGCGCCCCGCCCCCCTCGCGCGGGGGGCCCGCCCCGCCGAGCGGGGCTCGGGCCTCCGCGCGGCCGCGGGGGCGGGCGCGGGGCGGCCGCGCTCTGCCGCGGCGCGCGCTGTGGGAAAGCTCTGCCGCTCCGCCGCCGTCGCCGCTCGCCGCGCGCCGGCTTTCTCTTAGGAGTTCTCAAAGACAGTTCTAAACAAAACCATCCAGGGGCGATGTTGTGGACTGTTGTCGATTCCGTTTTTGTGCTTTCGGGGGTATTGTTTCTATTCCTCGCCCCAGCTCCACCTGTAGTCGGACATGCCCGACCTCACCGTCGCCGTCGCTCGCCGTGCGCTGCTTCGGGGAGGTTCGAGGAGGGGGTTCGGAGGCCCCCGCCGAGCGGGGCTCGGGCCCGCGCGGCCTCGGGAGCGGGCGCGGGGTGGCCGCGCCGCCCGCGGCGCGCTGGGGAAGCTCTGCCGCTCCGCCGCCGCCGTCGCCCGCCACGCGCTGGCTCGAGGAGGTTGCAGCGAGCGCGTTCCCGTGCTCGCGAAGTGCCCACTCGCCAGCGCCCGAAGAACACATGCTCGCCTCGACGTCGTGGATCGTGGCCCCCCCGCGGCGGATCCGGGCCATTTGCGAGTAGTTGCTCTGCGGGTAGTGGAACGCGCTTGGCTGAGGTTCGAGGATGGGGTTCGGAGACATCCGCTCGGGGGCATAGGCATCATTTCTCGGACACCCGCTCTGATCTCTTGGATCGGCGCTGGGCCCTCATGGGCGGCGCCTCTAGCGCGGGCCCTGGGGCGCTCCGCGCGCCGGGAAGGGGGGTCCAGCACCGATCCAAGAAATCCGCGCGGACCTCAGAGAAATCATGTTTATGCCGGCCAGTGCTGGGGATCCAGCGCAGATCCAAGACATCCGCGCGGGCCTCGGAGAGATTAGACTTACGCGTTTTTTTATCAACCACCCTGTGGTGTTGGGTTCTCTTTTTGAAGAGACAGCGCCCCGCGTTGTTCTCCTCAGCTCCTCCTCTCCTCCTTCTCATCCTCCTGCTCCTCCTGACCCCCGGGTTCCTTGGTGGCGGTGGTGGTTCGGTCCCGCCTGCATCGATCCTGGCTCGTGAGGGCGTTTCTTCTTCCGCCTTCCCCCACCCCGTGCCTCCGCGTTGCGATGAGAGCGGGTCGCGGTCCTTGGGACGGGGTTGGCTCCGCCGACGTCGTCGGGCCGCGCGGCTTCGCGAATTGTTCCGGAGACGTGCCGCATGCGTGAGTTGGTTCTCTTGTCAGGGCGTCGGCCGCCCTCGGTGGTCGCCTGTCCACTTCTGCCAGCGTCGTTGTCCTCGCGGTGGCGCGTTTCACTGTCCCTTTCCTTCCTCGGTGGCAGCCAAGTTTTGGGCATCCTGCTGCTCTGCATCCTGCGCGGAGCCTCGGGGGCCATCTTGGGGCCACCTTGGAGGAGATCGATCAAAGCAGGGGGCTCCTTCATTCGGGTCTCCCACCCCAGGAGGCCAACATGTGGCCCAAACCCTCGTGAACTCAGCGATTCGGGGCCTCCTCGCCTGGGCCGTCTTTGGGGCGTCTTGGGTGCCTCTGGGGGGTCTTTGGGGGCCGCGTCGGGGGTCTCTTGGGCGCCTTTTTGTGGCATTTTGGTGGCCTCTCTGGGCTCCCTCTGGGCCTTCTGGGCGCGCCTCTTGGGGCCATCTTGGGGCCATCTTGGAAGCCTCGAGGGCCATCTTGGGGCCATCTTCCAGGAGATCGATCAAAGCTTTTGATTCAAAGGAAAAGGAGGTTCCAAGTAACGTCCCCCCCAGGAGGCCAAAGATGGCCCAAACTTGTAAATTAATGTTAGCCAGCTTGGACCTCAAGCACTGTGTTTCTAGCAATACATGTTGTGCAAGCGACGTGGATCAACACATGCGGTGCAAGTTGTGTTGCGCAACATCATTTTGCATTCCATGTTGTGCAACACGTGTTGTGCAATTTATGTTGTGTAATCTATGGTGTGCAATCTACGTGATGCACAAGATAGAAACACCCGGGTTGCGAACCCCCTTATTCTTGTCATCACATATACAGAATTTATAAACATTTGTTGAACAATCGATCTTGAAATCGTTCCGAAACCGAAGGTCTTTGTGTGTGTGTGCATTTTGTCATTTCGAGAAGGAATTCCTGAACACTTCTGAATTGTGTTGAACTAGTGTGCGCGCATTGTATTATTCTGCCAGGGAACCGAGGGGGATCCGATACCGTCCTGGCTGGGATAGTATGAGTTCACAGGTATGATGGACATTGGGTCAGAATCAAATGTGTTCTGCATCGGTTCCCGGGGAATCGATAAGACCGGGGGGGGAGGGTGGTAGAATTTGTTTCTTTTTTAAGAAAGGAGTATGTGTTTGTGGAATCTACGTGGTGCAATTCATCTGCCGAACTTGAAGTTGTCAACTCCACTGCTCGTGCAATCATCCCTCCCGCCCACCCGCAACTTGGTTTGCAAAACCCATGCGGGAGCGATTGCGATGAGTGCTGGGTGGGCTGGTGCATCTCTGCGGCCGCGCTAGCCCGCGCATGCTCGCGCGCGCAGCGGCCAGCTAGTTTGGCGCGACCAACGCGAACGCGGTGGCGCTGCTCGCTCGGCGCACCCCAGCGGGCACATCAGTGCGAGTCGGCGACTTGGGCGCGCGCGGTATCATGGCAACGTCAACAACGTAGATTCGGTGATGATAGCAGCGATGCTGGTGACGATGCTGACAGCGACGACGGGGCAGCCAGTGACGGCGCCGATGCTGATCACGCCGGCGGCGATGAAGGCGTCTTCGCGTCGGTGATGAAGGTTTTGGAAGGAATTCGAAAAGCGCGCGCGGCAGACGCGCGAGAGTTGCTCGCGTGGTATTCTTTGACACGGATCGTGCCTTCCCAGCACGCACGCAAAGGCTCTCGGGCGATTTCGAAATTCGCGCGCGCGAAGCTCGTTTGGTAGCATTTTATGACAATTTTGAAACACCGGTGGTTTTTCTTCAGAATTCGCAAGAGCGCGCGCACGCTTTTGTTGAACATCCGTGTTGCGATTTTTTATTTTCGAGTATGTTTGTTTTGGGCGTTCGATTAGAAAATCTTTCAGGAACCGAAGGTTTTTGAGGATTTCGGCATGCGCGCAGCGGCGGGCGCGCGTGCAGTTCGCATTTTTTTCGCAAAGGGTTTTTGTATACTTATGATGTTTGATAAACGAGTGCGCGCGCATCGTTGTTTTGGAAAGAGAACCCCGGGCTCTGCGGCCGATGCGCAGCGCGCGCTAGCTTGGCGCGGCCGATGCGGCCGCGCTGGCGCTGACCGCTGGGCGCATCCTAGCGGGCACTTCACTGCGCGTCGGCGACTGAGGCGGGCGCGGTATCATGGCAACGTCGACTACCGTAGACACGATGGTGATAGTGGCGATGCTGGTGGCGATGCTCGCGCCGACGACGGCGCTGCCAGTGACGGCGCCGATGTTGATCGCGCTGACGACGTTGACGGTGCCCTCGTGTCGGTGATGAAAGTTTCGGAAAGAGTTCGACATGCGTGCGCGGCCGACGCGCGAGAGTGTTCCGCATGGTATTATTTGAAACCGATCGTGCCTCCCCAGCACGCGCGCAAGGGCGTGCGAATGATGTCCGCATGCGGCGCCAGGGAGGCCCGTTTGGCAGAATTGCATGAACATGTTAAATCATCGGTGGTTTTCTTAAGAATTCGCACGAGCGGACGCGCACGTTTTTTTGAACACGGATGTTGCGAAACCCTGTGTTTTTGATTGTGTGTTTGGACATTCGGTTTTGGAATCGCCACGACATCGGAGGTTTTGCATGATGTCGGCATGCGCGAGCGACGACGCGCGCGTGTGCATTTCATTTTCTGCAAAAGGTTTTTGCGACGACACGCACACAAAGGCGTTCGAACGATTTCGGCATGCGCGCGCGAAACACGTTTGGTAGCATTTTCGGAACATATAAAAAACAGCGGTTTTCTCAAGAATTCGGAAGAGTGCGCGCATTTTGTTTGTTTGTTTGTTTGTCTGTTTGTGTGTGTGTGTGTGTGTGTGTGTGTGTGTGTGCGTGCGTGCGTGCGTGCGTGCGTGCGTGTGTGTGTGTGTGTGTGTGTGTGTGTGTGTGTGTGTGTGTGTGTGTATGTGTTTTTAGGACACTCGATCTTTAAATCGTTCCGACAGTGAGCGTTTCTGAAGGATGTCGGCATGCGCGCGTGACCACGCGCACGTGTGAATGTCGTTTCATTTTCTGCAACAGATTCATGAGATTTGATCATTTTTGATAAACGAATGTGCGCATAGTATTTGTTGCACAAAATGGCGGGGGGGTGGTCGATACCGGCTGGGTTGGGATAGTACGAATTCATATTTGGGATGTACGATGGGGCAGAATCGTATGTACATTGCAACACGAAAAGGTGTACCGATAAACCCGGGGGATAATTTTAATTCTGTTTTAGAAAGGGGAGTATACGTAGTGTGATCAATTGTTCGATCGTTCTAAAAACGCGCCGCAGGCGCGATTTTTTCAGTGCAATCAATCTACGCAGTGCAGTCCAGCGGCGGCGATGTGGCGCCAACGTTGCCGCCACACCAGCCACGCGGCCCAGACGACGGGCGGCGACGAGGCGGCGACGGGGCGGCCACGGTGACAACATAGCCGCCAGACCAGCCACACGGCCCAGTTCTTTAGAGCAGAAACGAGAACGCCTAAGTGCGAACACTGTTTGGGAAATGATTTTGGTTTCCTCCTTCGCCGTGGTCATTGTGGTCATTGTGGACGCTTTAACTGCGCGCGAACTCTCCCCAAACGCAGGAGGAGGTGGCAGGGGGTCAAGACACCCTCGCCGCCCGCAAGCCGTGTCGCTCACCCCCACCCGCCCCCCAACACATAAGTAGCACACGAGCCGCAGCGTGTTTAGCGGGTAGTCTTTGAATGGAGAGCTACCGAGAACCCAAACGATTTCCATGTGCGCAGCGCTGGGGCGAGGTGCTCCAGGCGTGCAAGGCGCGCCACGCGCGCCAGGTGCGCGAGTCACCCTGTGGCCCAAGCGTGCCTGGTGCGCCAGATGCGCCACGTGATCCACGTGCGCACTGAGTGCCGCATGCTCCAGCCGCGCCAGGTGCGCCACGTACGGGGCACGCGCAGAGTTTGCTAGGTGCGCCTGCGCACGTTGTAGTGCACATCGGGAAACGTGTCGGCCCCCACCACCCTTGTTGAAAACCAGTGCGCGATCGCGGCGTGGTGGCCATCATACGGTCCAGTGGGCTATCGTGGACGTGGCGGTTTTGCGCTGCAAAATGCCAGCATCCCCGCCGTCCCAGTCAAAAACCAATGCACAGTGACCGCGGTGTGCCCGCGCAGGATCCAGATTGCTAAGGCCTTACGGCCGGTGCCGCCGACCCTGAAGACGACGAATACGAGAGGAGGAGGAGGAGGAGGAGGAGGAGGAGGAGGAGGAGGAGGAGGAGGAGGAGGAGGAGGAGGAGGAGGAGGAGGAGGAGGAGGAGGAGGAGGAGAGGGAGGAGGAGGAGGATTAAGGTGGAAGGGGCAGGAGAAGGCGAAGGAGATGTTACCCATTTGGGCCGAGGGAGTCGTAGCAGAGACGGACAGGGAACCTGGTGGCCTGCGGCCCTTTCCGCCACCGTGCTGGGGCTGTGGTTGAAAGGCCTCTTGGATGTTTTCGAGCCTGTTGGGGCCTCTGTTGGGCCTCTTGGGGGTCTCTTGGGGGCCTCTTCGGGCCCCTTGAGGGGCTCTTTGGGCATTCCGGAGGCTTCTTGGGGCGGGAAACTCAAAATGTCGGTTCGTGGACAGGCTGGCTCGGGCACTGGTGCGTGGGCCCCTGTAAAATTATGTCGGGCCTCTTGGACATTTTTGGGCTGTCTTGAGGTTCTCTTGGGCCGTCTTGGGGCCCTCTTGGGCTGTCTCGTGGCCTTCTTGGGGGCCTCTTGGGCACTCTTGTCGCGTCTTGGCGCTTTTTTGGGGTTCCGGGGCACCCAGGGGCGGATGCGTATCTGCCCCCCCCCCCCCCCCTCCCCCAGACCACCTGGGGACCCCCCCCCGGGGATCCCCCCCGGGACTCCCCAAGGACCTCCCCCCTGGACCCCCCCTCTCGGCGGGGGAGGGATCAAAGGGAAGGGGCTTCTTTTCGACTTCAGGACGACATTGCTACGGTTTTCTCTCGCTGACAGGCTTGAAGAAGAGGGTGCAGGGAAAGGGGACGACGGAGACGCAGGGAAAGAGGACAACGGATGCGCCGACTGAGCGCACGCCGACAGGGGGCCCACACGCCGACAGGGTCTCGCGGTGTGCCCGCGCAGGATCCAGATTTTGTTGCATTTGTTGTGTTTCTTGGTTGACATGGATGCTGGCCCTGCGCGCAGCAGGCAATATTTGGCACCCCCGCCGCCCCTGTCCAAGAACAGTACAAAGTGCTCGCGGCCCCCTTGATCATGACCCAAGATTTTGCCCCAAAGTGGACTTCACGCTGTCTTCGACAGGGATGGTGCTGGTGGGATTCAGGTCCTCGCGCAGTTGCAGCAGTAGGCCTGTAAGGCCAGATATGGCCCGCGTGGCAAGCAGCGAGTAGGGCTCAGCAGCGAGTGACAACATTTCTGTTTTGTATTCCCTGGCTCTCACATGCTGGCACGCTTGAGTTTCTCATGGCAAGGTTCGCCTAGGCCCATGGAAGTTCAGAAGACCTTTGGGCAGCAATGCGATGGTTCCAAGTGCACTGCTGGATCCGCTCCTGCTGCGGCTCACCGACCACCTACGCTTGCAAAGGACATCCCGCACGTGCGAAGCGGAGCTCCCAGCTGTGTTCTCATGCTTGGGGTGTGTTTCGTGCGTTGGATTGTTAATTGTCCTACATCCTGGGCGTGCTTGAGACCCCCTCCCCCTGCTTCACGTTTGCATTTTTCTCATCTTCGTGTGCTCTGGCCCCGCCCCACTTAGCCCCCTCGCGTGGACACTCGCGCGGGTGCTGTCGCTGTCACTGCCGCTGCCACGCGCATTGGACCTTCTGTGCTTGCAAAGTGGGAAACGGGGGCCCCCACACGGTGCGGTGAGCACTAGTGGGGACTCGGTGCGACCGCACGCTCTTGGGACCTGGGGTCCTGCTGCCGCCTCGGCGACCGGGGCCGCCACCAGGGCCCCGAGGCCGTGCGGTGACGAACCGTGCGGCGAGGTCGTGCGGGATTCCGAGGTCACTGCACGGTCAGTCACCGCAGCGTGCTTGCAGCGCCGTGGGTGGCGGCCCGTCTTCCATCCCACCATCCAGGGTGGGTGCGCGAAGCCCCTGAGGCCGGCGCGGGGTGGGCACGAGTGGGCATCATGGCCGGTTCGGGGGCAAGCGAGGCAGCACAGCCCCGTCGTTCATCTCGTCCTCGACCTCGCTCCACGCGCAGGGTGCCCTCCCCAAGCGGGCGCTCGCGCGGGCACCGCCCGAGTCGCCGCCGCTGCCGTGCGCGCGAAGGCCCAGTGCGCCGCCGGCGCAGGAATTCCCAGCGTGCGGGGCGGGCGCGGGCGCGCCGCCGGATGCTCGGGTGTCGCTCGCCGTGGCGCGACCGAGGTCAGCGAGGGATTCGATGGGTCTGCTTTCCACCACCACCACCACCACCACCACCACCACCACCACCACCACCACCACCACCACCACCACCACCACCACCACCACCACCACCACCACCACCACCACCGGAAGGAGTTGGGGGGGGAAGGAGGTGGAGGACGTGGGAGGCGGAGGAGGAAGAAGAGGAGGAGGAGGAGGAGGAGGAGGAGGAGGAGGAGGAGGAGGAGGAGGAGGACGAGGAGGACCCCCTCCCCCACCTACTGCTGGTGGTGGCGGTGGGAAACAAGCCCGCCAGGCTTGCTCGGAGCACTGCGGCAGGGCTCGTGTCGTGCGCCTCGGCGCGCCTCGGCGACCCCGCCGCGTGCGCTCGACAAGCGGAACGCCCCGCCACGTGCCCAGGCTCGGCCAACACAGGGGGGGCCCATGCCAAGAAACACCCTGCTCGCCTCCAGGGTTCCCTTGGTTTCTTGGGTTTCGAGGGTTTTGCTCTCGAAGGCGCGACGTTCCGTCCTGGGGTCTCAGGGTCGGGTTTCTTGTGGAGGGTTTATTGTGGACTGGCCTCCCCTGTATGGATCGTTCCACGCCATCGAAATGCCGCCGATCGTTCGAGGCTGAACGGTCCACTCGGTCTTGGAAACCTGCGCTGGGGTCGTCGCGACGCGCCGAATTCGGCGGCGCGACCGGGGGCGAACCGCCACCTCCCGTCGTGCGACGGATGGTTTTGGGAAGTGTTCGGCCTCTGGGGGCCCTTACCACGCTCCAGGGCTGTCAAAAAACGGCTCGGGATGAAGAGTCGGTTACTGGCAAAGGAGTCCAACGCTCCAGGGGCCAACGTCGTGGCAAAGGACACGATGTCGGAGTTCTGGGAAGGCAGAGGGAGCGGGCCGTCCCAGAAGGCTCAGAAGGCCTCGGGCCTTCTCAGAGGCTTGCTGCTAAACCTTTTCCGAAGCCACAGCGGGCTTCTGGGAAGGCCGGGGGGCTTCTGAGAAGCCCCGCCGCCTTCTGAAGGCCTGCCCCCTCTCGCATCCCCCCTCGGCGCGCCGCCGAAGCATGGGATTCGTGTGGACCATCTTTCTCTCTGTGCCTGCGTCAGCGACCGACCACTGCGAGATGTATCTCTGGTGTCTCGCTCCTTGGTCGTGGAGCCTGGCACCTCCATGCGTTGCCCCCAGGCGCCAGAGGCCAGCTCCCCTCGCCCCGTCCGTCCAGGCACCACGGGCTCCTGTCCTTCCAGGCAGCGCAGGCCCCACATCGGGGGGACGCCACCCGACCACGCCGCAGCTCCTGGCCCGCCCAGTCCCGGGCCCAGGGTCGGTGGTGCATGCCTTGGCGGCCAAGCCAGGGGTGTGTCTACACCGACCTTGGGCCTCGGGTGGGCGCGGCCAGGATCGGTCAGGATCGGTGGGGTGGTCAGTTGGCGCCCTCCGCTCTCAGACACCGCAGGCGGAGAGGAGGATGAGGAGGAGGAGGAGGCGGAGGAGGAGGAGGAGGCGGAGGAGGAGGAGGCCGCCCCAGACACGACAGGCCAGCCCTCCCCCGCACACGCCATACCAGGCACCAGAGGCTCCCTCCAACCCCCCACCTGGCCAGCCCTCCTGTGGTGCCCGTGGCGTCCTTGCAGGCCATGGGGGCCGCAGTGGTGTGAACCTTGAGCCAGGGCGTGCGCTCAGAATTTCGCTGGTGCCACGGTGGTGTTCGCCGGGCCAGCGGTCTCGGCGGCTGCCCTGCCGAGGGTGCTTGCAGCAGTGCCTGACGTTGTTTCTGCATCTGTGAGCGCTGTCTGTTCGCACATTTTCGGGTGCTTGCGGGAAGCATGCTTTTTGTATCCTACCGGCGTGCCAGGCGTCACCAGGGAGGGGGGGGGACGCGGTGGCGCAAATGTTGTCGTCTGCGGGGTTAGGGGATGGTCCAGAATAGCTAAGGCTGCCAGGATTCCCAGACCACTCCAGTGCAGAACGTCACGCCAGTGACAGCCGTTTAGCCGAATAATCAACCGCGCGCTCGGGTCCGCTTGGCCACGAGTCGCCTCGGCCGCGCTCTGACAGATTGACTGTTCAGTCGGTATGCGTGCGTGCGTGCGTGCGTGCGTGCGTGTGTGTGTGTGTGTGTGTGTGTGTGTGTGTGTGTGTGAGTGTGTGTGTGTGTGTGTGTGTCTGCCTGCCTGCCTGCCTGCCTGCCTGCCTGCCTGCCTGCCTGCCTGTCTGTCTGTCTGTCTGTCTGTCTGTCTGTCTGTCTGTCTGTCTGTGTGTTTGTGTGTCTGTCTGTGTGTCTGTGTGTCTAATTATCTGTCTGTCTGTCCGTCTGTCCGTCAGTCCGTCAGTCCGTCTGTCCGTCTGTCCGTCTGTCGGTCTGTCTGTCTGTCTGTCTGTCTGTCTGTCTGTCTGTCTGTCTGTCTGTGTCTGTCTGTCTGTCTGTCTGTGTCTGTCTGTCTGTCTGTCTGTCTGTCTGTCTGTGTTTGTCTGTCTGTCTGTCTGTGTCTGTCTGTCTGTCTGTCTGTCTGTCTGTCTGTCTGTCTGTCTGTCTGTCTGTCTCTCTGTCTGTCAGTGTGTCTGTCTGTGTATGTGTGTGTGTGTGCCTGTGTGTCTTTGTGTGTCTGTGTGTGTGTGTGTGCGTGTGTGTGTGTGTGTGTGTGTGTGTGTGTGCCTTCTCCGCCCTGTCGCCGCGCGCAGGGTCCAGACGCCCAGATGTGTGTGTGTGTGTGTGTTTGCGCCAGGGCGATGTATGGGACGCAGCGTCAGGCTCCTGGCGTGCGGGCGTCAGCCTGAGCTCGATCTGTTTCCCTTGCACCACGGAGCCCCCCTGCGAAAGCGCGGGTTCCTCCGGGGGCTCGACCTCGAGCCGCAAAGCGCCCGCGGGAAGAAAGTGCGTCCCTCCGCGCGGGGCGTAGATACAGCGCAAGAGGGTCAGACTGAACTTCGCTGGGATCCGTCTTGACCCGCGACTCCTGCCTGCAACGGCTCCCCGGCACACCTCGGTGGGGGAGGGTGGGGCCTTCCTGGCACGGATGCTTTTCGCTGGGGTTGGCTTTCGCCGGGTTTCGTTTCGCCGGGCTTTCTCTTGCTGGGCTTGGCTTTCGCCAGGCTTCGTTTCGCTGTGGTTGGCGAGCCCGGGCGAAAACCAATTGGGCGAAAGCAAACCCGGGCGAAACGAACCGGGCGGAAGCCAACCCGGGCGAACAACATCTACTCCGTCTTCCTTGCGGGGAACGGGAGACGGGTGGTGCACAAGAGCTCTGCAACAGACCTCAGCACGTCGGGGTCCTTGCGCACAGACAGTGAGTTGAGCACGACAGCTCGTCGCAAGGTCACAAACGAGGTCACAGGCGAGGCGACCCTGGCACGTGAAGGGAGGGAGAGGAGGGCGGGAAGAGGAAGGGGTATGTCTGGCACGCTCCTCCTAACAGGGGGAATCTTCAAACATAGAAAATATAGTCGGGGGACGATTTTTCGATGATTTTTTCAACATCATTTTTGAATATATCCGAAGTGTTCTCATTTTTCGCCTAAAATCCGCCTGTAGGGGGACATGCCCGACCAAAAGGAAAGGGGAGGGGGGAGGGAGGGGACTAAGAGGAGGGCTGTCTTGATGCCTGTTGCTAGCACTTCCTCGTCCACCCCGACAGCGGAGATGCCCGCAACAATACTGCTTGCCAGTTTCTGAGAACATGTCGGGAACAAGATGGCGCGGCCAGACCATAAAGTACACGATACCCATGACAGAGTGCTGACGTGAACTCTGGAACTTGCGAGCCACACCCATCCGACGTGCACGACATCTATCCGATTATCAGCCCAAGCAGAAGGACAGCCACATACGTCATGTACACAATCTGTTCCGATCTCGCCACTGGAGTTGGAAGGGGACCTTCAGCTCTGTATGCATCCAGTTGAGCTTCAGCGGCAACGCCTGCCAAGTTTGAGAGTACTTCCGACGCTCGGCGATCTTCTCTTCCTCCTTGGGCTCCGCGATCTTAGGGTTCTCGACCAGCTTGGAGAGTATCTGGGAAATCTTGGGATTGCCCCATGAGCCCGCGATCGTTTGCTTGAACGTCTGCTCCATGCCATCTTCCAGCTTGAAGATGTACTCAAGCGGGGATTCGACCAGTATCCGCTTGATGTTCGTGTGCCCGCCGTCGGTCCCCGCCTGCGTAGGCGGTGGCGTCCGTGTCACCGTCGCGGTCGCGCTCGAGTCTTGGCGACGACGGTGGTCCACCGCCGGATCCCGTCCCCCGCGTCTGTTTGTTGGCTTGTACGCCTTTCTCCCAGGAGGCCAGCGCTTGGTCCGCTCCAGGAGTTTGCCACGTGACTCCCATCATGAGCTCGAGCAGGAACGGCGGCCTCGACAATGCAAGCGAAGAAGATATTCAGTAATTAGTATTGATGCCATGCGCCTCGCACCTCCTGGAATGGAATCGTTGACCTGCTCGCCTGCACCATATTAGAAACCTGCAATCGTATCTAGACCCCTCGTCGGTGGAAAGGTGATGCACGGCTTGCATGAGGCACAGTACGCTAGAAAAAAATTGCGTGACCCTTCCTCGAAGAGGTTGATTGGCCCACCTGGACGGGTCTCCACCAGCCTAAGGCGAGCGATCCTTCAGTAGAAGTTGTTAAAGATAGTAAAAGCCCCGTCGAAGGCGCTCAGGATGCTGCAACCTCTGCTCACGTCGACTGCGCTCCGCGTCGCACTGTGCTCGAGCTTCCGGGGAGACGTTGGAGACCCACATCGACCGAAACCTTGCTTGGGCCCCAGACATCGAGCAGGTGGCCGACGACGTGCTGAGCGAGGGCGTGGTCGCACTACTTGGCCTCGGCTTCTTTCCCCCTTGCGTTGGTATCCTCGATCCGCGTTGTGGCAATATGGCTTGTAGTAGTTTTTTAAATTCATTGTTTTGCCGATCGGCGCGCCCCCCCCCCGGGTCATGGAGTAGATCTTGGCTGTTTTGTTGGCGCCTGTTTCAAGCGGGTGGGGTCCCCCAGAGGCCGCACTCATGAAAACAG